TCAATCTTATTCCAGTTCCTTAGACTTAAAGCATCCACCTACTGGCTAATTATTAGTGGAAACTCATTCTGCAAGTGGCCAACCTTGCAGGGCTGATTTCTGGTTTATTACCAGGAAGATTGGAAGTTTGCCCTTTGGCCTCTAATCATGGGATAGTCAAAAGGGCTGGTGGCAGGCTACCTCACTGGTGTGTGTGGACTCACACTCCAGGGTTGCTTTGTAATTTTGAGCTCTGCCCACCCATAACAAGGATCCCCTGTTTTGGGAATTCTTGACAAGTACTGCATATTATTTCAATTTCCCCCCAATATTTCTAATCCCCCCACCCCAGGAAAAAACTAGTTTCCCCCCCTATAGCTTCAAAAATTCTGGAAACTTTACACCTTTAGCACCTCCCAGCTGTTCTATAAACTTCCGGTCAGTAGACTTGATCTCTGAACTTTCTATGTGCAACAAGAGTGAAATATGTTCCTACCTTGCTTCCTAGTCTTTCAAAACTACTGTTTCCATTTACCACTCCACTCCACTGGGGCTGCTTGCTGTGTCTTTGTGGGACTAACCTTGATGCTCTCACTACACGGTCCCCGTATGCCTTAATTTGATGCATCAGTCTCTCTCTTTTGCATGGGAAGATCAACCCAGGGAGTACCATCTCCCGGACTCTGCTGCTTGAGAAACAGCATCCTCATTTAAATGTGATATGTTTAAATTACCTTCACACTTGTTTGTACAATGTTGGTAGGACCTTTTTCTGAGTAACATACAAAACATCCTGGGCCCTAACAAACCATGACACCTAAAAAAACTAACATTTATACCAGCATAAAGTTTCATGACTAAGAGCCCACTTTATCATATGCATCTGATGATATGAGCCCTGACTTACAAATGTTTACACTGGAAGAAACGCTGTTAGTCTTTTAGGTGACACTGGAGTCCAGGTTTATCTGAGATTCTATGAAAATCCTTGCTTATAGTATCTGGAAAAGCTTTATCTTCTGCAGATGCTTTTAAATACAAGAATACATCAGGAGATGTGGTCATGGACCACCAACATAACATCGTCTGTCTGCAAAATGATCCATATCAACATGCATTCCCTCCCCACCTATATATGGTTGCATGTACTAAATGTTTAGACACACAAAAACTGCCTCAAGAGGCTACAGATTTCAGTCCAGTGGAGGCATAATCTGCTTAACTCTTTCTACTCTGTGTTCCCACTCAATTGCTTCCAGTGATTTCGCATTTCTGTCTATGCAGGGAATATTTCATTGGAAGAGCAGCTGCAGGTCGGATTTTTATGAGGAAAACTGGACAGGACAAAAGGTCCTTGCTCACCATTCCCCTGCTTAGCATCACCACCACCTCCCAAGACATTTTTTTTAAGCCCAGGGAAAAATACATCATTATGGGTTGGAGCCAGTGTAAGGACGAGGTCTATGCAAAGATCCCTAATCTTCCCAGCTCTCCTCTTCCCTCAGCAGCCATATCTGGCTCCAGGAAAATGTATTCCTGGGGCCATGGAACCCACATGGAGTAATAGCTATGTGGGCTGGGAGTCGGCCATAGGGGAAGAACCATGGGGTTGGAAATGAGAAGGCGGGAAGACCCACGGCCATCATGGATTCCACTGATGGACCGTGAGATCCAGCCCCATGTCATGACAGGCCTGAAATGTTCCAACTAATGATTCAACCAATATGAAGGTGATCCATTTTTAACCACTGGACTTCTAAGTTTATTCCACTGCTACAAAGTAGCATATCGACCCATCTGGAATAATCAAAGAATCCAGAATATTCTATATCCAACTCTTTAAATGGGAATTCTTAATTGCAGACTATGAATACCACATATTTTAATACATTATAATCTCTTTTCAATTTAGAAGCAACGTGGCGCTTTTTTGTGTGTGGACTTTCTAACGTCTATTCATTTTTTGATCAGGTGGGCACTGCCAGGTATATGGCTCCTGAAGTTTTGGAATCCAGAGTGAATCTTGAAGATCTGGAGTCATTCAAACAAATGGATGTCTACTCCATGGCCTTAGTTTTATGGGAGATAGCCTCCAGGTGTGAAGCTATAGGAGGTAAGATGATATCACAAGGCACACAAGATAATTTAAACCTGCCTGAACTTGCAACAATGCTTTTAGACAGGGGGTAAGATGGTGGGTCATAGCTTAGTGTTAGAACACGCAGAAGGTCCCAGGTCCAATCCATAATGCCACTGTACAAAGTACCATGGTAATGGGATTGGGAAAGGCCTCTGCTTAACAATTTGGACACCATCTCTCTCATTAAGACATAAGCCAGCAGGGTTTTTATGGTGGCCTCTACTTGCTCTCTCAGTGTGCCATCACAGAATTATGTGACCACTTCATGAAGAGTACAGTCATCTAAAGGACTCTACTACTGGTATTTTGTTCCCATGAATTATTTGTTAGGTCTCCCCTCATTATTACATAGCTTATCTCCCCTAGTTATCTCATAGCTTGTCTCCCTGCTTTAGCATGGAGGGCAGGGTATAAATTAAATATTTATTTTTCAAATTATTATTTTTTTAAATCTTTGGATTTATATCCCGCCCTCCCCGAAGGCTCAGAGCGGCTCACAAGGGGCACGAATGCCCAAGTTAAAACGTAAAACAATACAGAAAATATAAAATACAATAAATACAGTTCGCTAAAAATTTATTTACGGTGCTCCAAAATATTTAACTATAAAATTCAAGATGGCATTCTATGATTATTTGTACTAGAAACAACAAACAGCAGTAATACTAATATATAACAGCGACAATATACATCCCTACAGCGTTGTCCTCTGCTAGGAATGTCTCGCGCCCCCCAATAGTACCCGCTCTGAAGATGGTCAATTTGCGGAAATAAAGAGGGGGGCGTAGATGGAATGATGGTCACGATGGTGACATAATGATGGTGGCGTAATGATGGTGGCGGCGGCTCCTACTTGAAAGCCTGGTGGAAGAGCTCCATTTTACAGGCTCTGCGGAACTGTACCAAGTCCCGCAGGGCCCGGATCTCTCCTGGGAGCTCATTCCACCAGGTAGGAGCCGTCACCGAAAACGCCCTAGCCCTGGTAACCGCAAATTTGATGTTTCTGGGGCCTGAAATGTCCAGGAGATTTTGGTTCCCCGACCATAGTGCCCTTGGGGGAACATGCGGGGAGAGGCGGTCCCTAAGGTAATCCGGACCCTGACCATATAGGGCTTTAAAGGTTAAGACCAGCACTTTGAAGCGAATCCGGTACGCCATTGGCAGCCAGTGCAGCGCTTTCAGCACAGGCCGGATGTGATCCCGTCTAGTGAGACCCATCAACAGCCTGGCCGCAGCATTCCACCCTCCCCACAAATGGGCTCAGGGTGGATCACAACAACAGACAGGCCATTCAGCTGTACAACACAATAATAAATAATCAGTTTAAACATTAAAACACACATTTTTTTAAAAATTGCATCAATACTGGTGCCACTGGACTCTAGGTTCATTTAATCTTTGAGGGGATGAACAAACATGTGGACCAGGGTGACCCAGTAGATGTTGTTTACCTAGACTCAGGACCTGGTGAGAGATGTGATTTAGAATATTTTGTACCAAATTGTTAGACTGTTGGAATTTATATTATCTGTTAGGATAGACTGGACTGTTGCTGGACTTGGATCGGTGAACTGTTAGGACTTACAGTGCTGGAGAACTGCTTTACTAGTAGCATCCCTTATACCCAACCTCTAACCAGCCTACTAATAGTCTGTGGCTAGCTTAGTGAAGACCATTAATGGACGATGGCCAGGCAAGGGATACCAGTGCTCCTGGGGATGGGAAAGTACAGCGGTGGACCATGCATAAATGGAAAGGAAGGGAATGGAGACGTAAAAGAGCTCAGTCCCCTTCCAGCCTGTGTCCCATCCCGAAGGTAGTAGGCAGTGGGGCTAGGATTAATGACCCCTCTCTGACATTGGCATTGTGCAATGCCAGTTCCATAAATAAAAAGACCATGGTCCTTCACGACTTCCTGTCTGAACAGGACATGGATCTGGCATACATGACCAAAACTTGGGTGCGAGATGGGGAGACTGTAGCGCTCTCCCAGTCAGCTCCTCCCGGGTTCTCGGTCCTCCACCAATCCCTGACCAACGGGCGGGGGGGAGGAGTGGCCCTGTTCCTTTTGGAGGATTACACCTTCAGAGCGCTCCCGCTGCTGAAGCTCGTGAGCATAGTGTGTGCTGGCTTTGTGTGGGAAGCCAGGGAGAGTTTGGCTGTTTGGCTGGCAAACCTGCCGTCCCTGCTAGAGGCCGTATCAGGCTGGGCACAGAAGCACCCTAGACTGTTAGTCTTGGGTGACTTCAATGTTCATGCCGATGATGCGGCCTCCATGCAGGCGATGGACCTGGTGTCATCCATGGTGGTGCTAAGATTCTCCCAATATGTTACGGCCCCCACTCACCGAGTGGGGCACACACTCGATCTGATCTTCACAGACGGGGTTACAGTGGACCGAATTACTGCTACGGCAGTTCCATGATCAGACCACCATGCCTTGAAGGCCCATGTGAATGTGCCACCCTGACCCTGTTTGGGAAGCAAGTGTATTTGAGTTCGCCCACGGAGCCAAATGGACCCCATGCGGCTCCAAATGGCCCTGTGGGATCCAATGCCCCCTGGCGGCTCATTAGATGAGCTTGTCGAGGACTGGCATAGCTGACTCTTGGCAGCCATTGATGAGATCGCTCCCCAACGTCCTCTGCACCCCCACTCTAAGCTCACTCCATGGTAGACACGGGAGCTGTGGCTGATGAAGCAGGAGCTCGGACAGCTAGAGAGACAGAGGCAGCAGGTTCGGGACAAAACTACAAGAGCATCCTATGGGACGTTTATGAGATTCTATGAGATGGCAGTCAAAGCCGCAAAAAGAGAATACTACACGGCCACGATTGTGTCTGCAAGTTCTTGCCCAGCCCAATTATTTAGAACAATCCAGTCTATTACTACTCTGCCACAGGGCAGACCAAACAATAAGGAATTGGAGATTGGCCGTGAGGCTTTTGTGAGCTATTTCACAGACAAGGTCTTGTCGCGCCACCATGACCTCCCTGCCAGTTGGACAGTAAGGGAACTCGAGGCTCCATGCGCATCTTCTTGTCAAGTTTTGGATTATTTCAGTCCACTCAGCCTAGAGGAGGTTGACAAATTGCTCTAATCTGTTCGCCCAACCACTTGTAGCCTGGATCTGTGCCCGTCGTGGCTAATTAAAGCTGGTCACGACAGGTTACAAGGTGCACTAAGGGAGATTATCACCAAGTCCCTCTCAGACGGACTGTTTTCTAGTGCACTAAAGGAGGCAGTGGTCCACCCTCCCCTAAAAAAGTCATCTTTGGATCCAGCTGAGTTGGCTAACTACTGGCCAGTATCCAATTTGCCCTATCTGGGCAAACTAATTGAGAGGGTGGTGGCGAGTCAGCTGCAGGGCTTTTTGGATGACACCTCTGCATTAGGCCCCCTTCCAGTCTAGTTTCCAACCAGGCCATGGGACGGAGACGGTACTGGTCACCCTCACGGACAACCTTTGGAGTCATCTGGATTGGGTGGTTCGGCACTGTGGTTGTTGTCGGACCTGT